GGGGGGGGGGGGATCTATCAGGGTAGGTAACAAAAGTCCCAACTCAAACTCACTTTAAAAATAAATTTATCTTTCCAAGTAACAGGACCTCTAGAGATAGGAGGCTCAGAGTTGGTTGATTTGGTATCCTGACAATCTCAGTGAGAACCTGGGTTCTCTCCAACTCTCAGTGGGCCATTCTGAGCATTGGCCTCCTCCTTAGGCTGGTAGTGAAATGGCTGCACAGGGATAGACATCCCATCCTGGACCTTAGTGTCTAGGTGAAGAAGAGAGAGTGGCAGCCCCAGTCAGAGGTGAGGGAAGGGGGTTGCCAGAGCTATTAGATAAAGCCTCTGGAGTAGATGCAGTAGATACCGAGTGGCCCTGCCAGCACCAAGACCTCCTAGCCCCAAATATCCTTCCCCAGCCCCAGCCTGTGAATTTTAAAAGTGCTTTCAGCCTGCACCAATACAGAAAATACTGAATGGAAACCTGTGACTCCTGTAGCTAATATCAGTTAATGCCTTTGAAGTGATCGTAACCAAGGGGACGGTGAAGAATGGGAAAAGCCTCCAGGATGGAAAGAGAGAGCCTCGGAGAAGAGCTGGGAGGGCTCACCAGAGACCTAGGCAGCCTGAGTCCAGCCATCGGGAAACTCCCTCCTTGCCCTTAGGGGGTAATCCCCCTCCCCAACCCCAGCTGCAGAAACACTGGTTTAATTTTAAAGTTAGCAATATCCATATACTTACAATTTACAATGTAAATGGTATATATTCCAAGAAATCTGGAATCCTTCAACTGATCAGTTATGCTTTTTTCCCTCCTAGATAGACCTCGCAGTGTTAGAGCTGTGCTGAGTGAGGTCACAGTCTAACTATGGTATTAACCCTGCAAATCTGTTCATTTTCGCCCCAGCACCCTCAGGCAGGATATAGAATGTGTCCAATTGAAAAACTATTACAGACACTGCAGTGTGCTGTGATGGGCTGAATTATAGCAGGGACGGGGATGTGGGAGTGGGCGGTATCTTTAGCCAGGAAGTCATTTTCTAAAAGGAAGTCAGGTCGTATGTATCTCTTAAAAGCAGAGGTCATATGATTGCATTTTCGAAGGAAAAGGGTGTTCTCTGTCATCCAGATTTTAAAATGCTACTTTTAATATTTCTGAACCTTAACTGTTTTATATTTCCTACCAACTATGTCTGGGTGGGGTTTTTTTGTTTGTTTGTTTGTTTCCTTTACCCTATACCTCTTTAACTTCTTTTCTGTGCATTACAAACCTCCTTTTGGGGTTTTAATATCTGTTTTGCATTATTGAAAATATCTAGGAACATACAAAGAATAATTAGTGAACACCGAAGAACCTACCACTCAATTTAAGAAACAAAACATTAACTCTTTTTCTGTGACTGTTTCTGAGCTCTGTTTAGTTCAGCATGGAGAAAAGCACAACACGGGTGGTCAACATTTTGTGGAAGGGCCCAGTCACCACCCCGTTCACAGCAGATGCCGGGTTTCAGAAAACACGGCATTCACCGTCTTGCCTGGACATGCATGTGGTTAATGCTAAGTAGTCTAACAGTTGTGCCCCAGGTAACTCCTAAAGCTATTTCAGATCATAAAATCTATGATGTTTTTCTTTTTTTTTTTTTGGTGGTTATTTATTGTTGACAGTGTTGCAGACGTCCCCACTTTGCCTCTCTCCACCCAGCCCCTGCCCCACCCCAGGCCTTCCCCACATTGTTGTCTGTCCATGGGCTATGCATATATGTTCTTTGGTTAATCTCCAAATCTATGATGTTTTGCAAACTAATATTTTATCATGCTGGATTTTTATACAGAAATTAGATATCTCTCCCTTTGTAATCTCCTTCAGAGGCATTTTTCAAAATCCCCTTACTAGGCCTCATCGCTGGCTTTGGCACACAATCGTTTACATGTTTGAAAAGCAATCTCTGGCTACATTATAAATCTGAGAGTATACTTGTGGTGTTCAGGATTCAGATATAAATTCTATTTTAGCTTATTCCTCAGTTGTAGACTTTAAATATGCGACGCCTTCATTGATGGTCCCAAGACATGACTTGACTTGTCTGTGGTTTGGGCTCTAGAAGCAATCAACGGTATTTGGAGAGTCTGTGAAATATTTATAATGTCTATATGGAAAGAATGTAATGTTTCATTTTCTCGAAGAAAATAGTTTCTTCTACATGTCCTTGCTGCCACCGTGTGATCTCCTCCTGCTCCGAGTGCTCACGTTGCACCTCTGCCTGTGGGACTAAGCATTCATTGTATGTCGACATCTGTTTCCGCCCCACCTTGGGATCTTGGTTTCTGCAAGAGGCCCATACCGAAGAGCAGCTTGCTTCTGGCTCATAAGCACATACTTATCGCTGGAGAGTACAGTAGTTCCCCTTATCTGCAGGGGATGCCTGAAACTGCAGATAGTACCGAACCTAACATACATTATGTTTTTTCTTATACACCTGTACCTGTGGTAAAGTTTAAGCTATTCTTGTGCTTTGGGGCCATTAAGTAAAATAGGGTTACTTGACCACAAACACTGCAATACTTCGACCGTGGATCTGATAACCGAGATCACCTGATAAAGTGACTAACGTATGGGCAGTGTCCGCAGTGTATAAACACCGCACACAGGTATGATTCATCCTGCGTGCCACAGAGAGGGAGGCAAAGATTTCATCATGATACTCAGAATGGCACACAGCTTAAAACTTAGGAACTGTTTATTTCCAGAATTTTCCATTTCATATTTTCAGACCATGGTTGGCTGTGGGTTATTGAAACCACAGAAAGTGATACCACAAATAGGAGGAACTGTTGTATACTTTTTTCAAAGCATCCCCAGACCCGGTCTTACAGGGAGAGAAACAGGAAACAAATGGGTGGAGTGTGGATAGATATTTTTTCATCAGTTGACAGGTAAAGTATGGTACCTGCTTACAAGGTTGCTACGAGTATATGAGACAATGGCTAGACCAGCCATACCCTTTTTCCTGATTTGAAAAACAGAAATTGGAGAAAACATGTAGTGGAACGCAGGTGCTGATAATTCTGTACTTACTTCAACTGCATCGCATTAGGAAGTATTCAAAGAGGAGGGTAATGCATACATATTTTATTTAGATGTGTATTGTTTTAAGTGCTGATTTTCTTTTCACTTGGAATGAATAGTGCTTCTCCACACGCCATGTACCAGTTGTTAAATGTGAGAATTCAGGAGTAAAATTTGTCATAGCACTCAGAATGATTTGAAGTGAACATGAGTTCAGCTCCTTGATTCTAAGCACAGGAAGTTTTCCCCTTTGTTACAGGATTTGTTTTTCTAACATTCATTATAACAAAAGTGAGAGCTTGCTGATTTTATTGCCCAGTGAGTATCATCAGCTCTAGTCACCGGCTTATTCTTTATGATGTATGTGTTTCCTTTCTCTCCACTGTAAAAAGAAAACATGTCTAACTTGCTTATCTCTCTGTAGGACAGTCGGCCCAATATGTCAAGACCTCTGATCACTAGATCTCCTGCATCTCCACTGAACAACCAAGGCATTCCTACTCCAGCACAGCTCACAAAATCCAATGCACCCGTCCACATTGATGTGGGCGGCCACATGTACACCAGCAGCCTGGCCACCCTCACCAAATACCCCGAATCAAGGTAATTCAAAAAACAAAAGATCACACTCCAGTGCATGTATTTGATGACTTAACTGTTTTTCCTTTGACCAGCAAAAGAGCTTGGCCCCACTGGGACCCGGGTTAGGGCATGAAAGCACCCCACAGGCCACCCTGCTCCCAAGGCTGCTCTTGGGTGTGCTGTAAATCTTCTACGAGTCAGGGCTTGACCCACTGCTTAGTCAAGGACACGTAAAACTGTCACGTGAGAATGGAGTTTGGTGCTATTTGGCTCTGCAAAGGTCTTCACATTTTTTTAGTGTAGTTTGAAAAGGACAGTGACTTCTACCCCAGGCCTTTCTTCTGTCCTCCTTCTAAAACATACTTGTTGATCAGTTCTTAGAGTTTTATAGGCGGTCACTTGTCCCACCAACTTGTGAACTAGGGGAGAAAAATAAGAGAGAGACTGTTATCAGTGAGGCAGTATATTTAGAACAGTATGCAAAAGTTCAGGAAGTCAAGATAGTCTTGTTTTAAAAAAAAAAAAGGAAGAAGAAGGGTAATGGAACTAACGAGAGCTCAAGGCAGATAAGTAAATACAGAAAGTGTATGAAGGTCGGGTGGTTTACAGACAGGCAGACACACTGGGCTTATGAGCTCTGCCCTCCCATGCCCCGACCCACCCATCTGTAAAGAAGTCCCAAGGCAATAATTGACTTTATACCGCACCTGGGACAACCCTCCTAGCTCTGCCTAGATTTGGGGGCTATGCCCAAATCCTATAAGGGAATTTATCTTCACCAGCTCTGCTGGTGGATAGGGGAGGAAGCATGAACTCATGTGGGCTGATGTCAAGAAAAAGGGGGTTTCTCTGTTTCTGCTCCTGTGAGATGGAAACGTATCACTTGGGCTTCAGGAGGGCACCAGTTGTATTCTCAAGACTCTCTTACAAAGTGACAGGTAGCTTACAGCTTAAGTAGATAGCACTGCCTTAAAAACCAGTCATCTTGTAACTACATGAAGACTGGTTTTTATTTTTGTTTAGTTCATCTCACTCCACTACCTGATATTTTATGAAAGAACACAAAGGCTGAAAAGAGTAAAGATGAAATATTTTCCCTCTTGATTTCCAGATTTAATATCTACAATGAAAATGAAATGATTTTTTGAAAAGATAGATATCTATTAATTCAATTATCCAAAATAACTATATATTTTTTAACGAAATGATCATACCAGTCACTTATTACTGAGTCCCCACCTTCCCTGAGTACATTGTAGTAGGTTTACAAAATCATGTTGCATGATAGCTATATTTCCCAAGAATATCATTCTATAAATAGTGATCTTTTTAAAAAATGTCTATTTCCATTTCTTCTAACCTTCTGCTAATATCAGCATCAGCAATAGAAAAATCACTGTGTCTCTTCAGGTGAACACTTAATTCTAGGGGGCAAGTCACAGAACATATGTAAGAGTCAAAAAGCAAATCCTTATCTATAGAAAAAGTCTCTGGTCTGGTCTGATAGCCTTTTGCCTCAGTCTGATTTTAAACTCTGATCCAGGAGGGAGGTTAATAATGACACCATTTGCCTGCGTGTAAGCGGTAGGCTTTCTTCCAGTGCTCACTGCAGCTGGGTGGGTGTCTGCCCACTGCCTGAGTCCCCATGGCAGTTTAGGCCTTTGAGAAGCTCCCTGGAATCACTTGGCCCATTGGCAGAGGTTAGAGGCTCTGCTTATTCATTTTCTCTCTCTGAAATAATTCACCACATTAATCATTTTGGTGCTTCACATTATTCAAGACCTTGGATAGTGTTTTATTGGGAGAGTCTTCCTCTGGCCACCTCTGAATGGGCATTTCTTTTTTCTTTTTTTTAATATATCTTTATTGATTTCAGAGAAAGGAAAGGAGAGGGAGAGAGAGAGATAGAAACGTCAATGATGAGAGAGTCATTGATCGAGCCCGCAATGACATGTGCCCTGACCGGGAATCGAACCCCGATCGCCTGGATCCCAGGTCAACGCTCAACCGCTAAGCCATGCCCGGCCGGGCTCTTTTTTATTTTTAATGGGTGTCTCTAAGAGTCTACTTTTTGTCCCTCATCAGCCATACCCTGAGACCTCAGGCATCTCAGTATCTGCTATCTGTATTGTCTCATACGGTGGCCACCTGGCACGTACGGCTATTGAGCATTTGAAATGTGGCTGCTCCAAAGTGAAATGTCCTCTAAATGTAAAATGTACACTGAATTTTAAAGAGCACAAAAAATGTAAACTATCTCAATAATTTTTATATTGAGTTCCTCTTGGAATAATAATATATTGAGTTAAATAAAATATGTCATTAGCATTAATTTCCCCTGTTTCTTTTTACTTCTTTAATGTGGCTACTGGAAAACACAAAATCATTTATGTGTCTTGCTTTTATTTCTGTTGGACAGAGCTGAACCATATACAGATTTTTTTAAAAAATCAAATTAAACCTACCCCTCCCCCAACCTGATACTTAGGCATCATATGTCAAATTTCTCTCTCACCAACTTAACTAAAAAAGGTAAAACGGCTCATCTTCCTTTCCCAGTCTTCCCCTGTGCTTCCTTGTCACCAGAGGGTCACAGTTGCACTGGAGCAACATCAAAAACACTTTGCGGTTCATTAGTCCCAGGTTTGAATGTTGATGCTGCCGTTTATCCAACAATTGTTTGGCCGTGGATAGGTCCAATTTCTGAGCGCCTGTCTTCTCTCTTGTAAAGTCGACACAAGTGTGTCTTCTCGCAAGGTTACTGGGAGGATTAAGTATGATTACACAAAGCACGCCATGGCCCCACGCCAAGCACATAGTATTGCCTTTATACTTAATCTCCTGCCAAACCCAGCAATCGTTTCTTTTCAAACTGCCTTCCAAATTCCAAATACACTTCACCCCTTCATTTCCTAGACTATGGAAACAGCCTTACTTCTGGATTCTTGCCTGAATTACTACAGGCTCAAGGGACTCCTCACCTGCATCTTCCGGCCCCTTATCTTCAATGTCCCCATCTGTCACAGAACTACAGAGCCATTCCACGATCATCTTTATCGTTAAAAGATATTTTTAACATATGTCAGGACTCTTTGAAACAAGCCTTGAAAAGTAACTTCTGTTTCTGTTGCTTACACTCAAAGCAGATGACACTGGTTTAGATATTGAATTGACCACTGTGTGTTGCTTTGCTCCCTCTTGGGGTTTTTTTTGTTTCTTTTTTTGGTAAGTAATGAAATATTCACTTCAAAGCAACAATCAGTTTAATGGGACCCATACACAAATTAGTAGTCAAAGATACAGGGAAGAGATTGTTCTTCATGCTTTTCCCATACATATCAGGTGCTCCTTCCAACTTCTGGGAAAATCTTTTGCATATCATCAACCCTTTTAGGATAAACCCTAGAACATTAGAATGCCCATGAACATAGAATTACAAATAACTCTAATTCGAGTTCTCTAGATTCTAGGGTATTTTGGGCCCTCTCACCCTCTGGGACCATTCCCTGCCCCACCCTACCGCCGTTACAGCACCTGGTTCCTCACCACCCCTTCCTTGGGGTAGTCCAGAGGGAGGAGGACTTTTCCTCAGTTTTGTTTTCTAGGATTTCAAGGGCAGACTTGTAATATAAAAGTACTCATTTGTTTGTAACAAGTAATCTTGAAAGATGTAATGTCTTCCTACAATTTCGAAGGTCCTATAAAGAGCCTTTATTCCATTTTGTAATTGATTTTTAAAAGTTCTGTCTCTTATTTCCTGCCCTCTTGGCTAAAGACCACCTTTAGATCATCGTCACCAGAAAGTGGTATGATGGACCACATGGCTAAACCTCAGAAGCATTGAAAAGCCATGTGAGGCCCTACCCCAAATAAATAACAGGAATCGCTGCAATTTTCCTAAGATATCCTGATTTTCACCATCTGGCAAATATAGGCCTCTTCCTTAACAAATATTTTTTCTATATTATAATGGCCATTCCACCAAAAGAAAATACCTTTGATCTTAACTTCTTTAATTACCAAGGTCACCTAGTTCTACTGTGTGTGTACCAGTGTGGTGTTTTTTGTGGGGTTTTTTTTGACTTATAAGCCCTGACTGAGCAGGGATTCAATAAGCAAGTTGACTTCTGCGTCCAACAACAAGGTTAATCACATTGTTACTCATTTCCATCATCAGGTGTTTTTTAGCTAAAGGGACTGAATTTTTGAAATGAACTGAAGTTTTGCATGCATTAGTAATGTGCTCTGTTTTTAACAGTCTTTTGTGTAAAATGCAAAACAGCTCTTTGGAGGTGTTTTTGAGGCAGAAGCTGATCCACACCACCTTAGTGATCCACACTGTTCCTTCCCTTCCAGAGGAGCCTGTGAGTCTCCAATTCTGATGGCTCTTTTAATTGTAATCACCAAGAAAAAGACCCAGTTCAGATATGCAATAGTTTTACATCAAATAATTAAAATTAAAATGTCAAGAATAATTTATCACCATCATGAAAAGATTGTAAATGGCCCGGCCTGTGTGGCTCAGTGGTTGAGCATCAGCTTGTGATCCAGGGGATCTCGGTTTGATTTCCAGTCAGGGCACATGCCCTGGGTTTGG